CTGAGTCTACACTTGAAGCAGCTAGAGAAGACTTAAGAGTTATCCGTTGGAGAATTTTCCATAATGTGGATACAGTCGTGAGCAAATGCAGGTTCTGCTCCGTGGGAGACGAAGAGCCAAGAGGCTTAGAGTTGCAGGTGCGCGTTGAAATCGCGGTACCGCTGACTCCGCGAGCGCCCTGAAGCCGGGGGACCCGCGCCCCTGGACCCGGCTCTGTGCGGAGGTGGGGGGGGGTGTTACTCAGCTCAGCAGCGTGGCCCGTGAGCAGAGGCGGCTGCGTATTCCGCTACAGCTCGCCGTTCCCCTCGTCTACATCCAAACTCAAGTCGAATGTTAACCCCCGTACGAAAGGTTTTGTGTCCCGCCGACCGCTAATTATTTCCATTTGCGCTGTTGCACGCTGTAGGAATTTGATTTGACGACCCGGGTTTTCCTCCTTCCAGGATACGAGGTTTCTGAGGTCCAGGACTCACGCGTCACTGGGTTATTTATCCTAGGTGGGTGTGTTCGCTGTGTTAGTTGTGTGGACGATTGGCAGAAGGAGGGAAAGGAAATGAAGCGCAGATAAGAGAGTCGTTTAGGCCGGTTAAGGTATTTGGAAATGTGAAGGCAAAAAGTACAGAACAGGGACCTTGTCTGTGTGGATACTCCCCTCCCCGAGTTCACGGTCAACGCTGGGCACAGAGGAAGTGGCTCCGGAGAACTTTGTGAATGCAAGAAGAGAAGAGAGGCCAGCTCTAGTCAAAGGTGTCTCTGTGGCCACAGACCTCTCACGTCGTGTTCCCTTTTCTATGGTAGGACCCCGAAGTGCCTGTTAGCTTTCTATTGTTCCCTTGCTGCCCAGAGGCCCCAGTGCAGAATCACCAGAACCTGCCCCCAAGGCCTGATCCTCACCCACTGGTCACTTTAGAACCCTGGCTCCTCATCAGAGGAATGGATCGTCCCCCCATTTCTGCAGGACTCCTCCCTGCCTCTCCTATTATTTCCTGTAATAACCGCCAATCGCCGTAAGAAGCTATGGGCACTGAAGGGCCGCCCTTCACGGGAAGGAAATAGTGGATCCTGAAGCCCTTAAACCAGAGGACTGACCCAGTGACTCCCAGGCACTGTAGCTGGCTGAGTAACTGGGTTTCCAGTCACCCTGTGCGGCCCCCTTCCCGGTCTGCAAAGGGCCCGCGCTAGAGGAAGGTACGCGTTTCCCTGGAAAAGGCAGCCCTTGACAAACTGCCTGGAAAAGTCCTGATCTTATGAAAATCCAGTATCTTAAAGGCTTTGTGGAGAATCCAGCTGGAGATACTGGGTCACAGTTTTATTGCAGGATGGGCCTTTTCTTAGGGTGCGGCATTCATTTGTGGCTGATCAAATAGCCGGGTTCCGTCGTAAGAGTCAGCAC